GAATATTTTGAATCAAGTTATGATTGAGATTAAGAAGTCATTAACACTTATATCTAAATATTTATTAGAGCCTTGTAGAGTAACATAATCAATTTTTGTCCTAGTTATGGCACGAATGGTAAGAACCCCCACAATGACAGAAGTTTGTGGTTTTGCGAAGAAGCGGGACATATTATTGGTATTTTACCATAATTATTGTATGCATCCGCTCCATAGCCTCGAACAACATCTTGATCTCCTAGACTGCATTATTGAGATGTTATGGGAGATACACCATAGCTTAAGGGATAAGGTGAAGATACAGAGGTTATATGAAACTGTTCCAGAACCTTGGGCTTCAGTCATAAATGAGATTGTACTATGGTCTGATGATAACCTTTCTTATGAGGACCTTACATATTTACTTCGAGAAAGTTATGAAACTAGCCGTAATTTACAGCGAAACTTTAAGAAGACTATAACCTTATCCATGAATGCTAGCTTACGAGCTACCAATTCTAGGCTAGATAAGGGACCGTTGGTTAAGTGCTTTTCGAGAGTTCTAGAAGAAAGTTTTTCCGTACCATTACCAGATAATTTGGAGCAAAGCATGCTAGAGGAAGAACTAGAGGAAGACCTAGATGAAGACCCCGAGGAGGATCCAGAAGAAATAGAAGATTAGACACCATCTTATCTAGCTATCTTTGTTTTTGGAATAGAATAGGATGTAATACGTACATCTACTTTTGAATGTGTGTACCGTACCTTAATATGACTTTTGTTTGTGGAAAATAGTAGTGTATATATATGAAGGAAAGTTGTCTTAGCCTTTGGATTTTTCTAAAGTTAGTATTACGTTTTGAAATACTTCTAACTGGAGAAATATCTTTCATTCAAAAGAAATGCCTCCAAAGCGCAACCATGGCAGTGCATCGAATTCCAATATGAACTCAGGCGGCGGCAATACTAATGCTAGTTCTAGTGGTGGCGAAATTAATGTAGCAGACTTTGCACGAGAACTGTTCGTCGTAATGCGGGAGTTGGGACAACAACAACAGGCACAACCTGTGACTGGGTAACGAACACTAAATCAACAAGTACCAATTGATCATCAGGAGCCCAACCAACCAGCTATTCAACCTCAAATAGTACCTAATCCGAGGGATCGAACTGCAATGATAGAGCAGTTTCGTAAAATGAACCCTCCATCATTCGAAGGGAGTATGGATCCCTTGGCAGTTGAAGACTGGTTACGAGAACTAGAACGTATCATCAAATTTATAAGATGTGAAGATGCTGAAAAGGTAACATTTTCTGTGTTTACGTTAAAGAAGGGGGCTAGCCATTGGTGGGACATGACTACCAGGTCATTAACACCTGCTGAAGAACAGGCTATAACTTGGAAGAGGTTTAAGGAATTTGTAGAAGAAAATTTTTTTCCGGCAGCTGTAAAAGATCAAAAGGAGATGGAGTTCCTCAGACTCCAACAAGGAACCATGACCCACTTGGAATATGAACGCAAATTTGAGGAATTATCAAGGTTTGCTCCACATCTAGTGGATACGGAGGAAAAGCGGGCTAGAAGGTTCAAGTGTGGGCTTCAACGTTATATTCGTGATATAGTGTCAGTTCTCGAGCTAAATACTTATCGAGAAATCCTGAAGCAAGCACATACTATTTCTTATCAAAGAACTCAAAACGTTGGAAATTCTTACCAAGTTCAAAATTTCTCCGGTAAGAGGAAGTGGAACTTTGATAGACAGAATAACTGTAAAGGAAAAGAGAATAATGCACCAAAGAAAGGAAAGACAGAGATAGTAGGAGTTGGTGGTGATAAGCGTTGTCCTAAGTGCGATAGACCTCACAAAGGAGAATGCTTATTGGCAAAAAATGTTTGTTTCAAGTGTGGGAAATCAGGACATTTTGCTAAAGAATGCCCCCAAAATCAGACACAGAAGGCTGGAGATGACAAGAAAGGAAAAGCAAGAGTTTTCTCTTTATCCAGGCAAGAAGCAGAGCGAGACCCTAATGTCCTCGTAGGTATCGTCTCTGTTTCCAATATGCCTGCATTTGTACTTATAGATTCCAGAGCTACACATTCGTTCATTTCTTCTTTGTTTGTTGCAAAGTCTAAAGTAAAATGTGAATTCCTTCCGTATGCCTTAGAAATCTCTCTTCCATCTGGAAAGATACTTGTCGCTGATCAAATAGCTAGAAATCTTAAGATGAGAATTGATGGTAGAGGTATAGCGGTAGATCTAATTCTGTTAACGATGAAAGACTTTGATGTTATCCTTGGTATGGACTGGTTGTCTAAAAACTATACAACTATTCATTGTACGGAGAGAATGGTGATTTTTTGAAGACCGGGCGAGAAAGAGTTTCGCTTTGTGAGAACTGAGGCAAATACCTTGTCTCCTATAGTGTCAACAAATCAGGTTGAAAGGACGCCAAAAAAGGAATTAGGTTAAAGATTTCTAGTATCGATGACCAACATTAAACAAGATAAGTTGTTAGTTGAGGATGTTCGAATAGTTCGACACTATAAAGATGTTTTTCCGGAAGACCTTCTAGGTGTACCACCAGACACGCAAGTAGAGTTTACCATTGACTTGGTACCAGGAGCAATACCTATTTCAAAGGCCCCATATCGTATGGCACCGTTGGAACTGCAAGAGTTGAAAGTACAATTGAAGGAGCTTCTTGATAAGGGTTTCATTAGACTAAGTGTAGCACCTTGGGGTGCACCTGTGCTATTTGTGAAAAAGAAGGATGGAACAATGAGGCTGTGCATTGGCTATCGAGAATTGAATCGCCTCACTATCAGAAACAAATATCCACTTTCAAGAATAGAAGATTTGTTTGACCAGCTTAAGGGGGCTACAGTATTTTCAAAGATCGATTTAAGATCAGGATGTCATCAATTGAAAATTAAGTCAGATGATATCCCTAACACGGCTTTTAGGACGCGTTATGGGCATTATGAATATTTGGTGATGCCTTTTGGATTAACTAATGCCTCGACAGTATTTATGAATCTAATGAACAGAGTATTCCATGAATACTTAGACCAATTTGTTATAGTTTTTATTGATGACATCTTAATATATTCGAAGAGTAATGAGGAACACGAGAAACATCTCACGATTGTCTTGGAAACTCTAAGAAAAGGGAAGCTTTATGCTAAATTCAAGAAATGTGAATTCTGGTTGGATAAAATAGGTTTTCTGGGGCACGTAATCACAGCACAAGGACTTGAAGTAGACCCAAACAAAGTGGAAGCAGTAAATAATTGGGTAAGACCAACAAATGTTAAAGAGATACACAGCTTCTTGGGATTGGCTGGTTACTATAGAAGATTTATCGAGGGGTTTTCTAAAATAGCAGGACCATTGACCCAGTTGACTCGAAAAGGGATAAAATTTCAATGGACAGAGAAATGTGAACAGAGCTTCCAAAAGCTGAAACGAAGATTAGTCACAGCTCCAGTGTTAGCAATACCTGACGGACCAGAAGGATTCGTTGTATACAGTGATGCTTCGAAACAGGGCATAGGGTGTGTTCTGATGCAGAAAGGAAAAGTGATAGCCTACGCTTCCAGACAATCGAAACAATATGAACAAAACTACCCAACCTACGATCTAGAATTGGCTGCGATAGTTCATGCCCTTAAGATATGGCGTCATTACTTATATGGAAGTAAGTGTGACATTTATACGGATCATAAGAGTTTGAAATACTTTTTCACCCAAAAGGAATTAAATATGAGGCAGAGGAGATGGCTAGAGCTAGTGAAGGATTACGATTGCATTATCCTTTACCATCCTAGTAAAGTTAATGTAGTAGCAGATGCTCTTAGCAGAAAGGCGGTTGGACAATTAGCAGTATTAATTACTATGCAGGACCAGTTGTTAAAGGATTTTGAAAACTTACATCTAGAAGTGATTGCTCCACCAACCCAAACTATCACCAGGATGACGGCTCTAATGATTCGACCAACACTTAGAGATCGAATAAGAGTAGCACAGGATGATGATTCTTTCTTGCAAAAGATTAAATCCGAAGTTGGTACTAGCAAGCGAAAGGATTTTGAATTAGGCAGTGATAAAGCCTTACTTTTTAAGGGAAGGTTGTGTGTGCCGAAAGATGAGGGATTGAGGAAAGAAATTCTTGAAGAAGCACACTTAACTCCATATACTGCTCATCCAGGAGGAACAAAAATGTATCGTGATCTAAGGAGTATGTTTTGGTGGAGAAATATGAAACGGTGCATAGGTCTTTTTGTTAGGAAGTGTATGACTTGTTAACAAGTGAAAGCTGAACATCAAAGGCCATCTGGATTGTTGGAACCATTAACAATTCCACAATGGAAATGGGAGCATATAACTATGGATTTTGTTATGGGTTTTCCAAAATCAGCTAGGGGAAATGATGCTTTATGGGTTATAGTGGATCGGTTAACAAAGTCAGCTCATTTCCTACCGGTAAGAATGAATTTTAGTATGGATCAATATGCGCGATTGTACATCAAAGAGGTCATCCGTTTGCATGGAATCCCAGCCTCAATTGTATCGGATAGAGATCCAAGATTTACCTCAAAATTTTGGAAAAGTTTGCGAGGAGCCATGGGAACCAAGTTAAACTTCAGCACAACTTTTCATCCTCGAACCGATGGACAATCGGAGAGGACTATACAGACTCTGGAGGATATGCTGCGTGCCTGTGTCCTTGATTTAGGAGGCAGTTGGGAAAGTTATGTGCCACTGGTAGAGTTTGCCCATAATAATAGCTATCAGGCTACGATAAAGATGGCACCTTACGAAGCTCTCTATGGCAGAAGATGTAGAGCTCCTCTTTATTGGGATGAAGTAGGTGAACGAAGAGTTTTAGGACCCGAAATAATTGAGGAAACTAGTCGAACGGTTGATAAAATAAGAGCTAGAATCAAGGCAGCCCTGGACCAACAGAAAAGTCATGCTGATAAAAGGAGAAAAGATTTGACATTTGATGTGGGTGATAAGGTTTTCTTAAAAGTGGCACCGATGAAGGGAGTTCTTCGCTTTGGAAACAAGGGAAAATTTCGACCAAGATTCGTAGGTCCTTTTGAAATTTTGCAGAAAGTTGGAAATGCAGCCTATCGAATTGCTCTACCACCAGATTTGTCAGCAATTCATGATGTGTTCCACGTGTCAATGCTTCGACAATATGTGCCAGATCAAAGTCATGTAGTTAGTTATCAACCATTGGATATCAAACGAAACATGAATTATGAGGAAAAATCAGTAGCAATATTGGATCGCAGAATCCAACAATTGAGAACAAAAGAAATTCCGTTAGTGAAAGTTCAATGGAGAAACCAAAATGTCGAAGAATCAACTTGGGAAAGAGAAGAGGAAATCAAGACCAAGTATCCAGAACTTTTCAACTAAGTTCAAGGTAATTTCGAGGACGAAATTTTTTTAAGGGAGGAGGGATGTAATACTCCGAAATTCTATGCTCGTTTAATTTGCTCATTTAATTTTTAGGATAGCAATTTAACTTTTCAAAATTTAGTATGGCCAAAATTATTAATGGTTGCCAAATTTTGCATTGGTTGATTTATTAAAAGTTTTCCAAATAATTTGTTAATTAGGGGTTTGGGATAAATGTCCAATTTTGCACCTAATTACCAAGGTTAAGTACTTTTTTTTCTCTCTTTTTTTCTTTCCTTCCACTTGGCCGTGTATTGCATTTATTAAGCAGGCATGAGGTGTTTAATCAATGCATGAATTGTTTTAAATTAAGCATGAGGTGGTTAATGAATTGATAGGTGTTTGATTGAAGTAAGAAATGCATCCATGCAGCCCACGTAGAGAAAATGGTTGAAGAGTCACCTTTAATTAATCATTTTCTTACCTTTAAATAGAAATGTTGCTACCATTATTTTCCCTTGCAAGAAAAAACAGATTTTCACTTGTATGAAAGAGCATTCAACTTGAGAAAAAAAAAAGGGAGACAAGCCTAGCACTCTCAATTCATCTTTCAACCGAATTTTCTTCAAATTTTACAGTAAGATACTTTCTATACTTAAGTGGTAGGATTTCATGCTAATATTTATGCTTAAACTATGCATGAAAAACCATAATATGAATGTGGTGGATAAGTCCACAAAGTTAGATATCTACTTATGCCTTAGGACAAGTCCAAAGGGCACCGGCAAGCCGGAATGTGTAAGTATGTGTTTGATTGCATTCTTTTGTGTAGTATTAACATGTTAAAATCCAAGCATGGTATCTTACTGAGTATTCCTTATACTCATAGTATTCTATACTAAATTTTCAGATCCATAATTGCGAAGTTGGTGGAAATCAGTCGGCATAATCGATGATGGGTTAGGGACAAGGTTGTTTTGCATTGAAGTTTTGTTTTTGCATGTTTTGTTCGACTGCTTTGCATATGTTTTCTTATGGTATTGTATAAAAACATGTATAAGACATGATGTAATATGGTACCGGAAGTAAATTATTCAATTATATCTTCTATGTTTTGTTAAGAGACATTTTTTTTAAAAACTTCTCCTTGCAAGTGACAAAAGGCAGAAACGGAACAGTTTTGAGGTCAATTTCAAAACATTATTTCTGACTCCATAAACGTCTATTTGAGACTTTGAAAATGTTTCTGCGTTTCTCATTGAGTTGTCTTAATATGGGCATGAGAATCACTCAATTTGGATAACTGTAGCCTGAGATATGAATTTTTAAACGTTGAAGGGTCAATCTGAAATTTCTGTGCAATACCTCATTGTTTTCAGTAAAACGCTCATATCATATGATTTTGGAAATTTTTCATATTTTAACCTAGAAAACTACTTGAAAATATCTTTCTAATGTCATAAATTTCATAGAAAATGGAGTTGGGATGAATTTTATAAAAATAGTTGAACTTGCTGCCCCAACTAACCGTGGCAGAACAGAGTCCGTAAATGTAAAGTATAATTTTGTCGTCATGCGCTCCTGCTGGCCATTAAAATTTTATGAGAGATATTTTACCAAGTTGAAAATAAGTTTCTAACATGTAATACTTTCATTTAAGAGTATTTACATATAGCGAAGGTAGCAATTTTTATATTTAGTACGTGATACTCAAAACTTAAGTTCGGAGTGTCACAATTAATTGCAGCGGTAGCGGCCAGCCGGGAAAGGGCAAGGGACGGCGCCGATCGCCGCCCCACTGAAAAATGAATTGAAGGAGGAAATTTCTCTCTCTAAGGTTTTAGATTGCATTTTGGAGGCGGGGGCTTCATTTACAATTTGTGAAATTGCAGGCCCTCGCCTGCAATATGATATTAGGGGTCCATTTGATAAATTTTTAAAGAAGGGTTATTTTGCAAAAGGTTAATATTGAGGACCCCTCATCCAATTA